TTCCCACATCTCTGATCTCATACATGTGGCGATGTTTGGGTTATAGTCGTATATAGCCGCCACAATATTGAACCCTATTTTAACGGACACGGCGTAACCGAGATTATTAGCTTCGGCTATAGAGTACAGTTCCTTCAGTAACTCGATCTGCTCCTGTTTATCAGTACCCTTCTTTCCTCTGGCTGCGATAATTTCCAGCAGTTTCTTAGACACCGCCTCGTGATTTACCTCAGTATCCTTGGCAAACATTTTCGGCTTTTCCTGTTAAAACACATGTCTATCTTTAGATTCAATTTTTTTTATTTCGTCTTTTTCTAAAAAAAATTATTTAAAGCTCACAAGTCAATCATGTCTATAAATCTTTAGGATCAGTTTTTCCTGAAAAATGCTTAAGCTTATATGTCTACCAGGTTTATAAATCTTTAGGTCCGGTTTTTAAAATTTTTTATTATGTTTAGAAATAGGGACTTGAAATGTTCGCTGGATAGTTTCTTTACATCAATTATTTGCTTGGGTTTTAGGTCACACCGACAACTGGCAACATTCCAGCTTTACTGGTGGAGGAAGACCTCAGATGCCCCTTCGTTCATTATTTCAGGCACAAACGGCCACCTAAGTAGAACCACCAATGTTCCGTAAGCTAGCTGGATAGCTTATATTATTTACCTGTATTAGAAACTGTAACCAGTATTGTTTGTTTTATGTGTTTTTTATGATGTGATAATAATAAGTGACTTACTACAACTAACGGAGCTCCACCTTTCCCTGTGACCTCTTCCCACCCACCTTCATCATCACCGTCATCTACGTCGCGGACAACATGCTGTTTCATGGAACGTCCTTTCTTCGTTTTCTTCTTCTCCTTCTCGTCAGTTGTCCTGACATTTTTTTTAAAATACATATTAATATATTCTGTGAAGAGCTGTCAATGATTCATTGCAAAGAATATAGGCAATACATCCATATGATATCGGATCATCGGGATGACAATTTGACAAATATCGGCGATACACCGATATATTGATATAATTCACTTTCATACCTGTTTAAATGATTTTAGTAACAAATATGCTCTGTTCAAACAAATATGATGTGTCCTGTTTATAAATGTCCTTTGCATGATTTTTTCTTAACCATTCTTGTCAACATTGCTATGAAATGTGTCTATTATGTCACAACAGCTTAGAGTTAGACATGGCCACCTGCTTTTGTATATGTTTTGGGTAAATATTAATAATTTCTAGACATTCAAATAATTGATAAAAATTATCCATTTTTTTAAATGTGTATCCATTATTGATCGACAGAAAAAAATATCAAACGATTCATTGATTGCCGTCTCCTATCAAATGACAGCTCCTAATTCTTTGAGGTTTATGGGAAATAACATGAACCATGGCTAGTTTATAACAGAATCTGTTCATTAAATTGTGTTTTAAAGGCATTTTAACCATTCGCCTGGAACCAATTGCCCAACTTAGCCCAAAATTAGTTGCAAATGTTCATGCCGCGATGAAAAAAAACTGCTTAACCCTGATAGGGTATTAACTCAGCCAGCAATCCTTTGATCACAAGTCTGACCCATAAACCACTCACCACTGCTGCAGTCATTTAATAATACAACAATTTTTAGGAGGAAGGCCTAAACAGGTTTTTAATGAACATTTTTTTTTTTAGTTATTAATCAAGACAATCACAGTTTCAGTTATATGGTTCCTCTAAGCTTTACTTGTACAGGCTGACCTAAGATGGATAACATGCATTATTTCATTTTGGCGAAAGAAACTCGCGATTCTTTTATAATTGTTTGCCATATATTTTTTTGTGGCGCTCATAACTGTAGTGAAGAAAAAAAACTTGATTATTTTGTAGCAAGCCGCACATTAACAACGTTGACTTCCCAGTAAAAGTTTTTGAACAGGCCACACACAGGCATTGGAAGTAAGCTTTCTAAAATCAAAATTTAAGCATGCAAAATTTTTGTATTGCGCCCCTGTATAGTTCTCTTAAATTCTTACTTGTTTACCTTTAACGAGCAGAAGAAAGAAGGGAGTTTTTCAAATCTGTTAACTTCTACTGAATCTTAAAACTTTGAATACCTAAATGAAATCAAGAACTTACTTGTCTTTTCAAGAAATAAGCAGCTGTTAGTATAAATCAAGGGGGAAAGCACCCCCTCGTCTTGAACCTCCGCTGGTCAGAATTCTGAGTTTTAGACCAAATCACTGTTCATCATCCTTTCAAATTTGCCTTTCTGTAAATAAACAAAAATCTACATGGTAATCCCAGAGCTATTCCCTTGTTTCCAGAAAATATAGATCTTGAAATAATTACAACTTAGAATAAAAAAGTGGGGCCCCATGGAACACGGTGGTTAACACGTCAGAACATTAGTAAATTTTTTTTTTTTTTTTTAATTTCCCTCTTTATTGTAACAATGCAAAACAATAAAAGGTCCATGAAAAAATAAAATAATCAATACCATGAAATTTGATGTAATAACAATGTTCTGAAAATGATACACACAGTTCATACATTTGCAAAGTAACTTATATGATTTTCTTATTAAATATTTTTTTTTAAAAAGGCAAAGTTTACTCTTGCACAAACAAGATCCAAATAACTGAATATAAAATCAAATTACGTTCCACAAGACGTTCCTGGTCAAATCACGTGTTTCAGCGCCGGCAAAACCTGATCCCCGACTCGCAAACAGTTCGTGATATGCTCGATCTGTTATGACCAAACAACGAACACAATTATTCAAATATAGACTCTTAAAAGTAATAATCACATTATTAACATAATCAAGTATTACAAACATCATTATGAACGTGCACCAAACATGATTAGACAAATTATTAATAGAGTGTTACAACAACAATAAGTGTCACAATTTTTTTACAGCTTCATTGTTAGGGTACTTTAAGTTGGATTAAGTTTTCCTTTCCATACATCCTGCAATTGTTTTCAAAAACCCAAGCATTTTTTTGGCATTTAAGTTATTTTCTGTTTTAACCAAAAAAAATAGTAATTGATTTTTAAAAAAGCCCTCTAAGCATGGGCAATACGGGACTTTCATTTTACAGTTTGTAAAATATAGATGTTTTAAATAATAATAATATTTTATTCTCTGGAACTGTGGATCGGAACAGTCCCGGAAAAATGAACAAGATTGTTCTGAAAAAATGAAAAAGATAAATTTGGAATTTTGTTTGTTAATCAAGCCCCTGCAACTTCCCTTATAAACATCGTTTGACTTATGTACATTCCCAAAAATAAATGTTTTTATGGGTTTCTGGAATTTGATTATTACAAAATTTTTTACAGTTTGTCCGTTGTCCCCTAAACATTAATCCTTTTTCCAGTAATACATTAGTAACCTAAAATTCCCATGCGTTATTCTATATTTGAAAAGCCATAAAAGTTTTGGATCCTTAGCGTCAACTTTAAAAAGGGTAGAGAGTAAGATTTACTTTTCCAGTTTAACTAAAATATTAGAAAAATCATTTTGCCATTTTAATTTCTGATTTTTGTCTTGACGAATTATTTATTTGGACCAGCAAGTCGGTTATATTGCTCCGACAAATCCTTTTTGCGACTTTTTGTTTAAGTATTTGGGATGGCAAAATTTGGCAATATCGGGTTTTTTTTTAACTTTGATTCATTTTGACATTTACAATGAAAAATACCGTTCAAAGTTTTTCTGAAGGGCGTATTATAGCCCTTTCATATTCAAGAAAAAAGTTTGATTCTAAACATCAAAATAATCTTTGAAATTCTTGGGAAAAACTAAGAATAACCCATTTTTCATTTACAAAATCGTTGACAAAACCAAAACACCTTTTTTTAAGTAGTGTTTTTTAAATTTTCAAACGATTTTTTTCTTTGCAATTTTTTGAAATTTAGGATTTAACCATAACCCGGATTGGGACCCAAAAATCTGCCCCAAATTTACCTGAACGAATCTTACATTTTAAATAAAATTTAATTCAAACATCCTTCCAAAACAAAATGTTTCTTCTTTTATTGTTGGTAACAAATAGTCCTACCATATTTGGTCGAAACTTGGTAAAGAGCTTTGGGACCAAATTCTTGTACAAAGAAGGGAAAAGCATATTTAGTGTTTGAAAATAAAAGTTCTTCTTATCCAAGTGATTTTCCCAAAGGCACTGATGAAATGTATTTAAGTCAACCGCTCTAAAAGCCCCACCATTTACATATAATCTTGAAAGTGGAGTTTTATTCTTTAATTATTTATCCCGGCCAATTAATTCCCAAAATAAATTGAAAAGTTACATTTTGTAGGTCCTTTATTACATCAGAATTTAGGGTTAATTTTGGTAAAGTTTTAAAAACAGGGTTAGTTAATTTAGACAAAGCAAGCGTCTTAATCACTGTGATCTTTCCTATAGGAGAAAGTAATCTTTCTGGACCATACTTTTAAAAGAGTTTTAACTTCATTTATCTTGGAAGGATAGTTAAATCACTATAGATGTAATATTTGTTTGATAAGTTACTCCCAATAATTTTAAATGGACCTTTTGTCCCATTTAACCACCGATTTTCCGGACATAACTCTAAATCGCTTTTTTCTCATTGCACCTATCCATAAACGCCCTAGTTTTGTCAACATTTATTTTTAAACAGAGATATCTGCATAAAATTTTAAAACTTTCATAGTATGAACGAGGGATTTTTCAGAACCGTCTAATATCAAAGAGGTGTCATCTGCGTATTGTGACATCAAATACTCTATACCCTTAATTTTGATACCTTTGATATTACTATTTTTTTTTATAAGTAAAGCAAGAATCTCCGCGCACAGATTAGTAATCTTAGTAATGATCGCTAGCCACATAGGTTCAAACCCCATGAGTTGTTTCCTTGAGCAAGAAACTTTGGACTCATTGCTTAGTACTGGTTGGTTCCAGGAACAGATTCAAAAGCATAAGCTTATAGCTTCCTACACAATCGACTGAAGTAAATTCTGTATAAACTTAAGTAGCAGATTCTCCTATTCTTACAATGGAGATGTCAGTGATCTGGTGCTAAATGCATTAAAGAATATTTCATGAAAATAAATTATACCAAATTACACATTAGATTAAGAACTGTGATTCGCATCATTTAAACAGTATATATTAAAGAAAGCTCAAAATGGCAAAACTGAAAATGTTGCAGGCTTGGTTTGACTGATGGTACTGGAAAGTGCAAGCTGCCGTCTACGCCCTAGAGCACAGGGGAAACAGTATATGAAATGGTAAAATTTTTGAAACATCTGCAAATGTGTTCATAAGCTGTTATCATGTGACATATTTTTGCCATACCTTGAAAATAAGGAATATGGTCCACTCGTACAAGAATCATACAACTTATCAAAACAGCCATAAATATGCCAATAGTCATTAAAAGTAAAAAGTTTAAAAACCAATGGACCAAACTGTTACATCTATGTTCTTTTAGGGAGTCCACTGCCTGTGGTTTATCAACAGATACTGACTACAGTCAAAACTGATTAATAGCTTAAATACTGATAGATTTATTTATGTCTTTAAAATCATATTCCGAAAAGTTTGCTTAGAACAATAGCTGAGCATGCAGTTAAAATATCTGGCAAACCACTTACTTTTAGATGATAATAAGTACATTTTTGACGAGGAAAAGAGAAAATACTTAAACTTACAGCAGGTTTATCTGGTTTCACTTTCAGGAACGTGGTAACTGGCTCGTCTTCCTCAGACTCTTCACTTTCTTCACCTACAAAAATAAAAATTATTTGTAAGGTTTTTTTTTCAGTAAAACTGGCAGCATTTGTTATAAGGAATAGAATCTTTTCAACAGGATTTTTTTTAGCTAAATGGTGGCTGCAATTTTGATGCCCCAACCTTTTTCTGCACAAGGGGCATCTAACAAACCAAAACTAACTAATGCATACAAGCTGTTTATTCAACCTTCATAATCAAATACTGTTTAAATCTCTTACAGAACTAATCAACCAGTATGAAACAGAAGAAACTTTCTGTGTCTATTCTAGCAGGGGGGTATGGGTAGATTCACTCATACTTTTGAGAACCCCCCCCCCCCCTATTTTTTCAGAGGCAAGGGGAAAATTTTACATATAGAAAGTAGGAAAAAGATCAACAAATGTAATAAATTCTCTTTTTTCAATAAAAATCACCCTTGTTTTTCGAATCCTAGACACTGACCTTTGCCATCTAACAAAGTTATAACAATGCAATTCACATCCTACAACAAATCATTTATAATAATTGAAGTATCGTACCTTCACCAGCATCCAGCTCATCTTCTGAAGCATCGGGATTTTCTTTATACTCTTCCAGCTCTTTCTCAAAGTCGCGGCTATACTTCTTCAGCTTTTGTCTCAAGGTTGTCAGACTTTTAGCGTTGATTTTATTCATTTTCTTCCTGCCCTCTCGGTCTTCCCAACACTACAGATATAAAATCAAGAATTTCACATAAACTTAGGCTTCTTTAAGCCTTTGGTTTAAATATAGTTATTTAAGCTCGATTGCGAAACAAGTTCTTGCAACTTATATTAATTATTTTTGTGTACCCTCCCTAGAACAAACCAGTACATGTACTGGTGTCAAATGAAGAAACATGGTTGTGATCGTTGTAGGGCTCGAACCCATGATCCCTGGGTCGAGAGGCAGTCACATTTGTTTCCTTATTTGGTTACTACCAATAAGCATAGGCATTGACAAACCCAAAACATGTTTTTTTCCTCATTTGAGCATAACATTCCCAATTGTCAGTCTGCATTAATATTGTTGTTAATCACCTTTGATAAAATCTTTTTTTTTTCCCCAAAAGGGAAATCCTTTGAAAATAGTTAAACAAGAATATATGAACACGAACTCTTAGGACTATAAATAGAAGCTATCATTTATTCATTATGCCTTCAGTAGTTTTTCTTTAATTTCCAATTTGGACATTTGACGACAATTTTTACTGAATTCAAATCATAATGGTGTTGAATCATTTAGAAACATGAAACTATATTCATTGAAGGAAATTGGTTATAACTCTATTACCGTATGGACCAACCCCTTTTTAAATTCTCCAAAATGTAACAAAACAATATAATCAAATTGACTTAAAAATTCAAAGAAAATATACAGAACAAGCCTTCAGCGACCTTAAAAAGATGACAAAATTTAAAGTGGTGTCCAATCAAAGATGACAAAATTAAATGTGTAGATTATCATACCTCGCTGACAAAGTCCTCGAGCTCAGACAATGTCCTGATGTAAAATCTTGGTATTCCTTCTTTCTCCACCACTTTCTTTGCCTTGTCAAACGCCTTACACAGAGATTCAAAATCTGCAAACAGCGTAATCATACAATCAATAACTGGGTATTTACTATACAAGTCCTTTTAATGTGTACATTACTTTACGCATAATATTTTATACACTATAAAGTTAATGACTGAATTTTGCCTGTCGCTCTTATGATATAAAATTTCATTAGCAGTTCAAAAGAAGCACTAACTGTTGACTTATATCTCTATAATCTTGACATCGAACTCGGTTGTTGACGACATGTGGGTTCTGTCATTTCAACACGCTAAATGTTTGTCCAAAATATCATGAAAACTCTTCCAAGGGGTTCAAAAGAATATAAAAATCATGAAAACTTTGACATACACATGCATAAACAAAATGCATTAAAACACAAAATACCTGGAGGGTGTAGAAACAAGAGCTGTCCGTAAGACAGCGCGCTCGACTTTTTTAGTGCTTGCCTATAATACAAAACATTGACAGTTAAGGGCCATAATTCAAATAAAATCTTTGACAGAATTACCTTCTCCTGGACATGTTTGGGAATCATGATTGTAAACAAGTATTCCAACTTTCAAATTAATATCTCAAACAGTTCAGTCAAAAAGTGGACTGGTACTAAAAACTTAACCAAGATTCTAAGTCGATAAAAGGCCTTAATTTTTAAAACAAATCCTTGACAGAGTTACCTTCTCTTGCGTACAGATGGGGGTAATGATGTGAAATAGCATTAAAAGTTTCAAAGCAATATCTCAAAGGGTTAAGGCAATAAGTGGATTTTACCCATATTCAATGTATTTTCTAAGTCAAAAAGGGGCATAATTCTGTCAAAAACCTTGACAGAGTTATGTCCTCTTGTCTGTTGATGAAGGTCGTGATGGTAAACAAGTATGGTCAGTTTCAAAGCAATACCTCCAATGGTTTTGAAATAAAGTGAGGTGGTACAAAAAACTTAACCAAGCTCAATACACTTTCTAAGTCAAAAAAGGGCCATAATTCTGTCAAAAACCTTGACAGAGTTATGTACTCTTGTCTGTAGATGGAGGTTATGATGGTGAACAAGTATGGTAAGTTTCAAAGCCATACTTGTAATACTTCTGAAATAAAGTGGGGTGGTACGAAAAACTTAACCAAGGTGTGACGCCAACGCCGACGCCGGGGCGAGTAGGATAGCTCCCCTTTTCATAGAAAAGTCGAGCTAAAAACAAAGGCATTTTAACCAATGCAAATGAAATTTATATTCGCAAACTTTTTTTCTTGGTTTCCAGGTACAATTGGCACATATGTGCGACCCATTTAGTCTAATTAGTAACTGCATGGGGTTTTATTTTCTCTTACCTGATAGAACATTGCTCATGTCCTTGATCTTTTTCTTGTTCTTCAAACTCTTGATGATATTCAGTAATTCATCATACCTGTTTCAATATATGAAGGTAAATTTTACAAGTCACACTTAATATGCATTGCATACAATTCTGAAAACTTACAAATAGCTTTACTAAAGGCACATGATGCCTCAGAAACTAATATTTTGTTTCTTCTTTAGGATGGGTAAATATGAGTTTAACAATGTTTAAATAATTGTTTTAGAACCTGTTATGTCTATTACCTTAAAAAAGTAGTGCAATTATCTCACAAACATAAAGCAAAATGTAAACAAAGTTGTATTTTGACTTCTATACAAAATACTGAATCACTAACTTTAGTAATTGCCAAAATGCAACTGAAGAAAAAGATTGTTCAGGTTATTGGCCAGGGTGCAACTTTTTGGAAATTATTGCAAAACACAAGAAAAGGAAAATATTTTTGAGAAATAATGGGCCTTTAACAAGCCTCCAGTGACATGAACTAACAATACTGGCAGTTCTCTCTTCAACTACAAGGCAGTAGAGCAGATTACTAACGCTAGTGTCTGTTGCGATCAAATGTTACGAACTGCTTTAAAAGAACTCCAGAATGCACTGGCCCTGGCTACTTTAGAATCTTTTTTCTTGCTACTTCAAGTTATTTGGAGATTACTAATACTTTAAGGGATAGAAGATAGCCCATATTAGCAAAGTGCGAAGATATACCTTTTATCTTTTTCGCTACGTACAACTCGCCTGGTCTCCTCTTCATCATCACTGAACTGGAAAACCCTAAATAAATCGAAGATAATGAATGCTCAAATTTCATGATTGACACATTAAATGAAATAAATGATGTGAAAAGTAATAGCACAACTTGTTAAGTTTATAATTTAAAACAATTTTATAGCAAGAAAGAAAGAAAACCTTAAAGTGGATATTATTTAACATTCTTCAAACATGCTCTGTTTTTAACTAAAAGAACTTGTTACTGTCACAATAAAGCAGTAGTTAAGACATTACGCCATCACAAACCTAATTAAAGATGTAAAAATGTTCAATACTGGATGAGGGTGGAGTAAATTACTAGCTTACTTGGTTGTAACAGCTGGACGCTGTATTTGTACCTCCTCGGAATCATCTGAGCTATCAGACTCCGAGTCTGACCCTTTAAAGAAGCGAGACATGACAACAGCTTATCTGAAATAGAGGAAGATCTATACAATAATGTTTAAAAAAAATGACAATCATTTAAATCTTGAATTTCACAAGAATATCATCAACTAGAAAAGTAACAAAAAAAAATTTGTGTAATGTTGTGGGATAATTATTCAATTCGCCATTATGCTCTATGAAGAGTGGGGCAATTACAGAAGATGATGATGATGAAGTACCTATTTTTCCTAATTTGCTACATTCTACGAACCATAATACCAGGTTGTTTTACGATTTTCCAACATTGAGTAAGATGGTAGACCCGTGGTTCGAGTCCCGATTGCGGTGAGCCAATTTATTGTGTGACTCAAATATGGCTAGAACTTTTGCTGGAAGTGCGAACCTGTACATAAGTTGCCATAAGTTATCCTTATTTTATCAACTCCATTATCCATTAAGAATATTTACAAGCATGTTTGTCAAAAGTCCTTTATCATTTTATCCATTATCAGATTACTACTTTCATACATCAATGTAGATCTAAATATTTACTGTCACTTAAAGTCTTGCATTTTCATTCATCAATTTATATCAATTCATTACATTTAGAAATCTACATGTCTTTAAGGCTTAAAGACCTACATCAGATAAAATCATAACTCAAATAAAAAATTTGCCTGGACTTTATTTCACGTTTTGACAAAGTTTTGGTAATAATCATAGAATACGGAACAATTAAAGGCTTGGGCATACATTATAAATAGAAATCTTTGCTTGAAATAACTATAACTACGCTTGTAAATCACCTTTTTATTGAAATTCTAGTAAAATATGGTGAAATATTGCCCCAATGGCGGAAAGCCGCACATGTGTCTGTGCACTACGTCATCAATTTTGCCGGTATGACTAAAATACGAAAGTATGAAATATCCGAATGATACCAAACAACGGAAGGAGATAAAAAATAAACGAATTCTCTTTAAAAACGTAAGAAAGGAAGGACTAATGTTTATTCATAACATAATTTTACATATTAAGTGCATTTTGTGATGTTCACTCGGCCCGTGGTAAAATGATATTCATCTCCTTATTGGTCAGCTCTGGGATTTTGTCCAAGCGTTATTTTTTTACCCAGGTCAACTCGTTATTTTAAAGTACAATATTATTTAGTCTCAAAGAATATGTACTTTATTATTATTATTTTATTTTAGCAACAACATAGATCACAGTTACATAATAAGATATATAAATAAATATATATAAAATAACAGTTTATCCAAATTAAAATATCATTTCATATTAATAATAAATAAAACAAATTTAGTTAATGACTGAGATCAGATGAGGCATTGGATAAATGTATTTAAAAAAAGGTAAATAAATAAATTAATAAAATCACATTTCAGATTAAGACTACAACAGTCAGAATTATAATTATCACAGAATATTGTTTAAAGTTAATGATAAACATGATATAAAAGAAATAAAAGTATTTCAATAAAATTTCAATACAAAAAAGTGATCTATGGTTACAAGCTAAGGATAGCCCATTAAGCTGGTGTGCTTATTTCCAATGGGGTCCTGTTAACCAAATACAGTATAGTTCACTACAACCCGATAGCTCTATATAATAGTATTTATCTAAAAAACAAACAAATAAAAAACGGTGATTAACCAAAATAATATAATATAGTACTAATTAAGGAATATAGTACAGCTCATTAAACCCACGATTTTAGCCTCACCATATATCTCAAATAATGCAAGGTGATACATGTACAGAAAAGCTCACTAAACCCACGGTTTTAGACCGATCATATTTCTCTAATCTCAAAAAAAAAAAAAAAAAAAAATGCACGGAAGTAGTCTCAGATAATGCACGGTGATAGTGTCATATCAGTGTAGCTAACCAAACCCTCTGTGATAGCCCTATGTAATAGTTGTTATCTCAAATAATGCACCGCGATAGTCTCAAATAATGCACGGCGATATATAGTCTCATGGCGATAGTCTCATGGAATTAAACTAACGGCGAAAGCCCTATCTAATGTTTTAACCAAAAAAAAATGCACGGTGACAATCTCAAATAATGCACATATTGTAAAATGACCAGCAACAGGATAAAAAACGTGCACGGAAAACCATAATATTCAATGGGACATGAGGTGATTGGGTGAGACTGGGATGTTTTTAAGCATGAAAACTAATTTAGAAACTAACAAAACATTGTTTTCTTAAGAAAATGAAATATTTCGTGTATCCAAGATAATTTGTGACTTGGATAGTTGCATTGATAAAAAGTATATATCGGTCCTGTTATTAGAAGAAATTTTAAATGAAAAGGGGGATGATCCTCTTGGAACTCATTTTGCAAAAGAATTGGTTGGCTACCCTTGTATAACAAGTTCATTTTTATGTGTCAGGCATTCCATTCTCCTGGGAAAAAATATCACCTCTTAAGCACAAAAACTAAATTTTAAAGTAGGATTAGGGACCATTTCTCATAATGTAAGTCTATATGAAAATCAATACAAGAGTCTGACCATAAGTGTAAAGTTGTATGTCTTTGTAAGCTTGGCATGAGGCAGCTAAATATATTCACAACAGCGTTAAATTACATGGGCAGAAACAGGGTTAAAACTACAAGGAAAGCCACAATGAGTCAATGGGAGTAAGTTGATTGGATAAGAAAATGATGTTTATAAATATGAAAGTTTTAAACAAGAACATAACTGTTTTTGAAAAATGAGTGTGTCTAAGAGAATTTTTCGTTTTTAGACTTAAATACATTTTATGTTATTCCTTAGATTAGTGGTGGAGTTCATTAAACCGATTTTGCGGACATTTTTATTGTTTACCCATGTATACCGAGGTGATTTTTGTATCTCAAGCATATTATTGAGCTTTAGTTTAAACAATATTTTATTTATTTATAAGCATTACATTTACATGATAATTGACAAATAATAAATAGTACGGATTGAGTAGTAAGCTTGAAAGCTTTTTTAGAAACTCTTTCCGAGTTTTTAGAAACTCTTTGAGCTTTATATATACAAGTATATATATCTCTGAGATACAAAAGTCACATATTTAAAGTTAAGATGAATACACAATTTTAATGTATGATTTTGTGGGAATTTCTTGCGTAGAAAATGTCGAAACGGATGACTTACAGTGACTGGCTTAATATACTGTTGAATAAAATTGGTGTATTTATACATATCCACATGAATTACACCTAGATGCTGTTGTTGTTGAAATACCTTTAGCCCCTGTATTTCCTTTCATATAACACTACCTAATTAGAAAATAATATCATCTAGTACATTTAATCTCTTTTTTTTACAGTAAAAGAAGAATAAATGCACGTGTATGCTTACATAATGTTTTTTTTTCTTGTTTCATTAGCTATAAACGTCTAAAAATTCGTATAAATAAAAATTATTCTCCCAATGTTAAAGGCCTAATTTGCATCAGAAATGCTATCAATTTTATTTCTCATTTTTTTGGCACTATGTTTCTATTTCCATACATATGATCATTTTCCATATACATGAACTAATTTTTCCTGCTTTTACCCTATCAGCAATTGATATGATTATAGGGAATTCGTATTTTGTTTCTTTAATGTTTACCAACATAATATTATACGTCTCACTTGATAATAAGGAAAATATATTTTTTGAAAGCATTTTACAAGAGAAGCCTTACCATTTAAGATAAAATTTCAATTTAAACATTGATAGATTAGATTGATAGATTGACAAACTCATGAATGTAATGATTGCCACAGTGCTCAAATTATTTTTCAAACTTAGTTAAAACAAAGCAACGCTTGACCAATATAATGGTGATACAACACATGCACTTACAATATGGATGCTTCTTCTGAACATTTCATATTTGGATCAACGAAAAAAATGAAGAAACACAAAGCACACAAATATTGTAAGTTTGAACACTTCTTTTATTGCATATATACTTGGGATGATCCCGAATTACCAGAAATTTGTTTATATTTCTGATAAATATCATGTTGTACTAATTCGATTATACCTGCTTAATGTTATTGCCTTATACCATAATGAGTCCTTGTTGGAAAATTCCGGATGCTGTTTTATATGAAATTTTTATCAATATTGAATTTATTGCTTAATTTCGGATGTTTTTGGATCATCCCTGAAATATGAATCTATATAAGTATATATTTGCCAGTGCTTTTCGAACTTAATTACCTTTTACTCATACAATTGTATGTTATATTAAGTTTCCTAGGAAACTCCAGATGTTGTATCATAACTATTAAGACTATCATTTTCTCCAGATGTGCAACAGCAAAACTAACAAGGACTATTTTTATTGCTGGTTTAGACACGAGGCTGATATAAATATAAATGATACTTATTTGGCTGTATTCGCTTCTGTCTTGCAATTTCACTCATTGTTTGCCATTGGCAAAATGTCAATTTAGGTCTCCGTTATCCCGACGGATTAGAAATGGTCACTTTTCGGAGAAATTGTCAAGCGACTTATTGGTTGTTTTGTTTTTTGATGATTTTGCAATATGATTGCTTTTTGGTCATATTCTTGAACGAGTCATTGTCATATAAAATACCATATGACCAGAACCAAGACGTTGATATGTATAGTACGTATGTTTTTTATCATATCAAAAGAAATCAATGGATAATTGTATTACACTATCAAGGCATGATGCTGTTTAAATATCATTTCTATTACTGATTGTATCATAATTATGTAAATGCGTCTCGTTACTATTTAGATTTATATTAACAAAGTGTTTCTGAATCAGCAGTGAGACACAAATGACCATTAGGCTCAATGTTCGCCTTGACCAAACCATAATAAAACCATCGAACCCTGATTGCAATGACGATGTTCTTCCTATTGCACTGAGCGGGGGGATTTGTAACTGGTAGAAAAAAATGTCATCGTCTTGAAAAAAATAATACCAAAGTGTTTAACTTACTTTGTAATTTGAAATTTTTGGAAAGCCAGCAATACAATTTGGTTCAATCCTTTTGTTTATACATTATATTTTGCATAATATATAATGTTGTGTATTTTTGTTTATATATTATGTACAGTAATGCCATAAGATATTTTTAAGCTAAGCTAGTAAATATAAACGGTGTCGAAAATTATCGCTTAACCTAAATAGTAAGAAAACCATTTTTTTGTGAGTATTCTAAATATTCGATAATCTTGATAATAAAATGTAACTTCATGATTTTTGAAATCCTTCCTCAAGTTAAACATTTCCCCACATTTCACCAACTAGCTATTATACACACGAATTTAATTTTGTTTTGTGAATCAATAAGACAATATCCTTTTCATTAATTCTGTTTGAGTGGTAATACAACTCTCCGAAAATATTTGCCCCCTTCTTAATTAGTACATTGTTTCTTATTTAAAAACCATTGCTCCAGATCAAATATCATTTGAATTTCTTAATCAAAGTGAGTTTAGTATGGAATAGAAGATTTATGTCTTATTTAATCTCCTTGATCATCTAAGATCACAGACGCAATTTTAAACATTTACTAACAATCACAGGTTTTCATTTCTTTGAACTTTTCTTGTCTAAATGCTAGTAATTTAGGACCAGTAATATCCTTATTACATCTTTGGAGATAAACATCTTTTGAGTTAATATATACTATTTTCGCAGTAAAGAAAACAATGCATGTATAATTATCAAAATAAAATGTCAAATTAGTGTACTATTTTTAAACATTCATTGAACATTTGTTGAACCCTTGCAGACACTTTATACGTTATCCACCATGTTACGTTAAAGTAAGTTGATATTGTTTATCTACAAAGGAGAGTAAAAATTGATTGCTATGACACTTGACAAACAAAAATAAAAAA